TACGTTAATTTTAACTCCAATAAAAAAAAAATTGACCTCATACATAATGAAATGAGTAGCTTTATCATTTCGTAAGAAAAAAATTAGAGAAAATATATTAATTCAGGAAAACTTGGCTTATTAGGCAAATCGGGCCTTGAATAGTAGGCCCAGAAATGCGTTCTGGCTACTAGGTACGACATATATATATATATATATATATATATATATATATATATATATATATATATATATATATATATATATATATATATATATATATATATATACATATATATATATATATATATGTCGTACCTAGTAGCCAGAACTCACTTCTCAGCCTACTATTCAAGGCCCGATTTGCCTAATAAGCTAAGTTTTCCTGAATTAATATATTTACTATAATTTTTTTCTTATGAAATGATAAAGCAACCCTTTTCTCTATGTATGAGGTCAATTTTTTTTTATTGGAGTTAAAATTAACGTAGATATATGACCGAACCTAACCAACCCTACCTAACCTAACCTAACCTATATTTATAGGTAAGGTTAGGTTAGGTAGCCAAAAAAAGCTAGGTTAGGTTAGGTTAGGTAGGTTAGGTAGACGAAAAAACATTAATTCATGAAAACTTGGCTTATTAGGCAAATCGGGCCTTGAATAGTAGGCTGAGAAGTGCGTTCTGGCTATTAGGTACGACATATATATATATATATATATATATATACATATATATATATATATATATATATATATATATATATATATATATATATATATATATATATATATATATATATATGATGTGTCACAGGCTATAGCGTTGTGATCAAGTAAACAAATTAAGAGTACTATGATAATCTATTTCAGAGTACTATCACGTTCTATCTCAAAGTACTATGATAATCTATAACAGTCGAGTACCATGATAATCTATCACAGTCGAGTACCATGATAATCTATCACAGTCGAGTACCATGATAATCTATCACAGTCGAGTACTATGATAATCTATCACAGTCGAGTCCTATGATAATCTATCACAGTCGAGTGCTATGATAATCTATCACAGTCGAGTGCTATGATAATCTATCACAGTCGAGTACTATGATAATCTATCACAGTCGAGTACTATGATAATCAATCACAGTCGAGTACTATGATAATCTATCACAGTCGAGTACTATGATAATATATCACTTTCCAGGAACCCATTCATAATCATCTAGTCGAGACTGTCTGGAAATATTAAATAATCAACCGGAACATATGACGTAATACTAAATTTTCTCGACACTAGGCGAGGGCAGTTGTGATCCGCGATTCATTTATGACGCCAAATTCACAATAATCATTACCGGGCACGCCTTCACAACCTAAGCCTTGGGTGAAAGAACTTATTGGAATTCATTGATATGCGTTAAAGGCTCGTCTTCAACGGCAAATAGGCGGGATTCGAAGCCCGGCAGGTCGCGTGTGGCAACGGGCTGACGTCAGAGTGTCGGCGTCACGTGACCTGCCTGGCGCTGCCCTTCGTGGCGGGAAGAGACTCAAACGCCCTCAACCACGCTAGTATTAGTTCACTTCTCGTGCCGTTAAGGTCATCACTCAGGACGCGTGGTGGTGGGGCGACGACGAGGCTGCAATCACTCTCTCTCTCTCCCTCTCTCGTTGTACTTAATGAACACAAACTGAAGTCTTGAGGCGATTGTAATAATTCGCTCTCAGCGTGTTGGTGGTTCTCAGGCAAGCAGATTCTTCTTCTACTTCTCCACAGGTGATTGCAATTAACATCCTAACTTGTTTATTTCTAACATTCAGATACTCGATTTATTGATGTTTATTTGTATCACGTGATGATGAGCCATATAATGGTTTGTGTAAACTAGTGGAAAGATGTTTGAAGGAAGTCCAGTATAGACTTCACTGAGAGGAGCGAAACATAAGAAAATATTACGATTTACAAATTATATTTAATTGTACCAATATTCACACGAAGATACGAACTGTATAAATTGTATTCCTTAAGTGGCATTATTGCAACTTGTGACTGATCTTCTTGCAATGAACGTGATGTGATCGGTGTGGCGTATTGGTGTTTTTTTTGTGATATGTGACACCTCACATAGGTTATCTCCAGGGCTCGTGGAGCTCAAGTGATATCTCTAGGGCTCGTGGAGCTCATGTGATATCTCTAGGGCTCGTGGAGCTCAAAGGATATCTTCAGGGCTCGTGGAGCTCATGTGATATCTCCAGGGCTCGTGGAGCTCATGTGATATCTCCAGGGCTCGTGGAGCTATGTAAAGGACATAACACGTAGAGGAGGAGGATATCTCCGGCTGTGATGCTACACAAAGAGACAAGTTATCACTTCTCTTGCTATGTATTCTCACAAACCTATCTTCTTGTATATAAATAAATAAATAAATAAATAAATAAATACAGTTTAGCGCATAAACATGAATATTATTCCGACTGTGAGCAACATTCCTATATCAATGTCACGCTAGTACGGGCCTCTTGTACTACAACTATAGCAGTAATAGTACTGTTTTTTATAGTAGCTACATCACATTACATAATAATGTCATCATTTTGTTTTTAATTTAATGGAGAATGGAAGAAAATGATCAGGGGAAAGCGCCAAGCTATTACGACTAATAATGTTATAAATTACTATCATTGCTACGTTTGCTGGGCAGCCATAGTCCTACCGGGGACAGGAAGCCACCATGAGCTGTGTTACCAATAGGCCCCCCCCCCAACATCATCTGGATCTCGGGGGCCAGATTCACAAAAGCACTTATGCAAGCACTTACCAACGTGTACATCTTTTCTCAATCTTTGGCGGATTTGTTTCCAATTATTAAACAGTTAATGAGCTCCGAAGCCCCAGGAGACTGTTTATAACAATAACAACAGTTGAATGGGAAGTTTTCATGCTTGTAAACTGTTTAATAAATATAACCAAAGCCGTTAAAGACTGAGGAAAGATGTACACGTTCGTAAGTGCTTGCGTAAGTGCTTTCGTGAATCTGGCCCCTAGTAGATCATTTCCCATATGCAAGGGGACGGAGGTTTGGGCCTGGAGACGCGAGTGAGAGCAGTATAGGTAATGAAGGTTAAAGAATGTACATCAGCAGGCACATCACGACACATTTCCGGTCACTTAACGCTGAACATACACTATAGCCTACTAGTGTTACTATTATTGTACCAACCACAAAACAAATTAACACGGCTGAGAATAATTAATATTTTAGGAACATACTACTAAAGTGAGGTTATTGTTTTGAGAAAGGTGAGGCTATTGTTTTGGGAAAGGTATATATATATTCATTCTCTCAACAATCAGCTGTTTCACCAGCCCAATACAGCACGGAAACGATGCCTTGGATGGCAAAAGCGACAACAATCGCTTTTATAACTGCCAGGGCTGTTTCTTTACTAGCATGTAAGAAACAAAAAATACAAGATGAAAATATCCTCGTATATTATGCACATGGAGTGAGTTATTGTGTAGAGTAATGTTGCAAACTGCAATAGTTGGCAACCAAACAAAGGGCTCTTGCCGTCGACCAATCAGGATGCGCTCTTTGTGACCATAAACTTGCAACTTTTTACTTACCGCCAAAAGGCATAAATATACATTTAAATGTTTATAATGGTGACTAAACTACATACATCAACTAGACCAGCCCTATCGAACAACAAAATTCAGTACTTTATGAATTCTACAATACTTGTGTTGAAAAGTATTCGTTCTCCTGTTGTATAAGACTTACTGCTTTTGTTGAAGAGTGTTGATTTATACTAATAGTGATAATATTAACATTAACTAGATATGCTCTAATCGCACTAGAGGCGATCATCGAATGAAGGAATTCCCAGACTCCTAACCCCCTTATATTATTTAACGTGCAAAATATTCGCGTATTGTGCATATTGTTATCAATATTACATTAAATTAATATTTATTGTATCTTAAATCAATATTTAATGTATGGTAAATCAATATTTAATGCATATTATATCAATTATATAATGCAAAATTTTCGCGTTTTCTCGATACACCTTTTGTTAATCTTCTCTGAGTTATGCACCATTGACTCGGCACATAACTCCGAGATGTAGTTATGTACTCGCTTCACACCACTCCGAGTTTATGTGAATTTAAAAAATAACCAATTTACAACGACGAATATACAGATTACGAATGCTTGTTTGGATACTATAATATTGTGGAAATGTGAAAAAGAGGCTTCTTGCCAATGAGCTCTCAAAATCATGTTGTGTATCATTGTGTACAAGAAGAATGTTATCCTGTAAGGGATATACATTCTAGTGTACACATTCCTGTACGTGTCAATAAGGTACATTAGGGATATACGTCAGTTCTACAATTCCTACGTTGCTTAGTCAGGAGTGTGTTAGTGTTCATGATGAACAGAACTATGATATTTCCTAACAGATTGTTTATCCTAAGCATGAACACGCAATGCGTGGGTTGAACACTGAAGTGCTCAACACATAGAGCACAATACGCAAGATGCCCGACCATGTGACTGGCTGGATTATCTTGGGAGAGACAATACACACAACTATATAAATGTATCGTGTGAATGAGACGGGTTTTTCTGAGTCTACTCAGGGCGTCCAGCAACTTTCCATTTCCAAAGAGGCAAATGTTTTCCGTCGTTCTGCATACTCTTCTTCTTCTTCGTATTATTATTATTATTACACAGAGAGTAATCACACTAACGTGACGGCTTATGGTGAGCCCCAGGTACCGGCTGGGTCCTGCTTGTGGCGTGCCCTAGGCGCCGCCTGGGTCCTGCTTGTGGCGTGCCCTAGGCGCCGGCTGGGTCCTGCTTGTGGCGTGCCCTAGGCGCCGGCTGGGTCCTGCTTGTGGCGTGCCCTAGGCGCCGGCTGGGTCCTGCTTGTGGCATGCCCTAGGCGCCGGCTGGGTCCTGCTTGTGGCGTGCCCCAGGCGCCGGCTGGGTCCTGCTTGTGGCGTGCCCTAGGCGCCGGCTGGGTCCTGCTTGTGGCGTGCCCCAGGCGCCGGCTGGGTCCTGCTTGTGGCGTGCCCTAGGCGCAGGCTGGGTCCTGCTTGTGGCGTGCCCCAGGTGCCGGCTGGGTCCTGCTTGTGGCGTGCCCCAGGCGCCGGCTGGGTCCTGCTTGTGGCGTGCCCTTGGCGCCGGCTGGGTCCTGCTTGTGGTGTGCCCCAGGCGCCGGCTGGGTCCTGCTTGTGGCGTGCCCTAGGCGCCGGCTGGGTCCTGCTTGTGGCGTGCCCCAGGCGCCGGCTGGGTCCTGCTTGTGGAGTGCCCCAGGCGCCGGCTGGGTCCTGCTTGTGGCGTGCCCTAGGCGCCGGTTGGGTCCTGCTTGTGGAGTGCCCCAGGCGCCGGCTGGGTCCTGTTTGTGGCGTGCCCCAGGTGCCGGCTGGGTCCTGCTTGTGGTGTGCCCCAGGCGCCGGCTGGGTCCTGCTTGTGGCGTGCCCCAGGTGCCGGCTGGGTCCTGCTTGTGGTGTGCCCCAGGCGTCGGCTGGGTCCTGCTTGTGGCGTGCCCTAGGCGCAGGCTGGGTCCTGCTTGTGGCGTGCCCCAGGTGCCGGCTGGGTCCTGCCTGTGGCGTGCCCCAGGTGCCGGCTGGGTCCTGCTTGTGGCGTGCCCCAGGCGCCGGCTGGGTCCTGCTTGTGGAGTGCCCCAGGTGCCGGCTGGGTCCTGCTTGTGGCGTGCCCCAGGCGCCGGCTGGGTCCTGCTTGTGGAGTGCCCCAGGTGCCGGCTGGGTCCTGCTTGTGGCGTGCCCCAGGTGCCGGCTGGGTCCTGCTTGTGGCGTGCCCCAGGCGCCGGCTGGGTCCTGCTTGTGGAGTGCCCCAGGTGCCGGCTGGGTCCTGCTTGTGGCGTGCCCCAGGTGCCGGCTGGGTCCTGCTTGTGGCGTGCCTCAGGTACCGGCTGGGTCCTGCTTGTGGCGTGCCCCAGGCGCCGGCTGGGTCCTGCTTGTGGCGTGCCCTAGGCGCCGCCTGGGTCCTGCTTGTGGCGTGCCCTAGGCGCCGCCTGGGTCCTGCTTGTGGCGTGCCCTAGGCGCCGGCTGGGTCCTGCTTGTGGCGTGCCCCAGGCGCCGGCTGGGTCCTGCTTGTGGCGTGCCCTAGGCGCCGCCTGGGTCCTGCTTGTGGCGTGTCCCAGGTACCGGTTGGGTCCTGCTTGTGCGTGCTCCTGGCGCCGGCTGGGTCCTGCTTGTGGCGTGTCCCAGGCGCCGGCTGGGTCCTGCTTGTGGCGTGTCCCAGGTACCGGTTGGGTCCTGCTTGTGCGTGCTCCTGGCGCCGGCTGGGTCCTGCTTGTGGCGTGCCTCAGGTACCGGCTGGGTCCTGCTTGTGGCGTGCCCCAGGCGCCGGCTGGGTCTTGCTTGTGGCGTGCCCCAGGCTGCGGCTAGGCTGCTCTCCACCAGTCACACAACTTACCAGAAGTAACATGCATCCCAGATTGCTCCTCCGATTTCCAGTGTGAAATTCCAGTCGCTGACGAGACTGCGTACCGCGCACACATCATTGGAAGATATTTACAAACAAATTATTTTAACTCTTGTTTTTCAACTTCGTGGTTTCTTTTGTCGCTGGATTGTGAAAGTAAATATCTATTAGCAGCGAAATGTACACGGTGGATGTTATCGCTGGCACGTCTTCTACTGCGTACAAATTTATTTTATTTTTATTTTATTTATTTATATACAAGAAGGTACATTGGGTTAAAGAGAATACATAGCATAGTATTTACAATCTTGTAAAGCCACTAGTACGCGCAGCGTTTCGGGCAGTTTCGGGCAGCAAATGAGTTCTGTGGCACAGTGTTCTTCGTCTTTGGCTCACTACCGGGGCATGAGAAGGTTGGGCAAGTTTTCTTTCATCTGATACCTCTTCTCACCTAGCTGTAAAGTAGATATCCGGGAGTTAGGCGACTTATGTGGGTTGCATCCTAAGGTCAGTAGATATCTTACGGGGGCCTCGATAAACCTAACATATTCATTTATTTATTTATTTATTTATATATATACAAGAAGGTACATTGGGATTGTGAGGATACATAATATAGTAATTACAATCTTGTAAAGCCATACTTCCTGTCCTGGACAACGTAAATGATTACATAGCCCAAATAACAACAAAGCGAGCGAGTGTAATGGAAGTTGCAAGACCAGAAATGTTTATGGTCTCCTGGGATAGATTAGGAGCAGCAGAATAAAAATACGACCCTTCGTGTTTACAAGTGACGTCATAACGGTAGGGTGGGAAGTGTGGAGTCATGGTCCCATGTTCTCTGGTGTAAAGCTTCTTCTTACCTAGTTGTGCTTGCGGGGGTCGAGCTCTGGCTCTTTGATCCCGCCTCTCAACCGTCAATCTACTGGTGTACTAGTTGTGTTTACTAGTTGTGTTTTTGCGGGGGTTGAGCTTTGCTCTTTCGGCCCGCCTCTCAACTGTTTACTAACTACTTTTTTTTTTTTTCCACACCACACACACACACACACCCCAGGAAGCAGCCCGTGACAGCTGACTAACTCCCAGGTACCTATTTACTGCTAGGTAACAGGGGCACTTAGGGTGAAAGAAACTTTGCCCATTTGTTTCTGCCTCGTGCGGGAATCGAACCCGCGCCACAGAATTACGAGTCCTGCGCGCTATCCACCAGGCTACGAGTCCCCCTATGGTGTACACATTCCTGAGCTTCTCGAGCTCAGGAATACACCTAGGAGGAGAGGCGCCCTCTCGTCTCTTCACATCAAGCCGAAAACAAGATACAGATTATGAGTCTAACAATAAATATTTCATTCACTTGGATCATGGAAATTCGAACTTGTGTCTCAAAAGTACGAGACCGTCTTCCCAACCCAGGAAGTTCTCTTGATTTCCTCTCCGTAAAAAAAATGTAGTGGTTTATATTACCAAAAAGTCACATCTGGGCTACTTACCAAACCTCCCGAAACGATGCTCATTAGCCTCTAAAAGCACCAATACTAAATATACCAATAATAATAATAATAATAATAATAATAATAATAATAATAATAATAATAATAATAACTGTATTTTGAAAATATTCATACGCATGATACAGTTGTTAATTGGTAGATCCAGCTGGCTTCGTTCTCGACTAGCAACCGGGATCCCGGGTTCGATTTCCGACCGGAACAGAAATGGTTGAGCGCGATTCGTTTCACCTAATGCAGCTGCTCACCTAGCAGTAAACAGATGCCCCGGAGTTAGGCAACTGTTGTGGTGTTGCGTCATGGGTGGGGGGGGGGGGTCAGTAGTTCCACCTGAACACAAGACCTGCTACAACAATGTAAGAACTCTTGTATGTATTCAGGGGCTCAGCTGTCAGGGGACTGACAGCTGAGTGGACAGCTACTCGGATTCGTAGTCCCGAGGTTCCGGGTTCGATCCCCGGTGGAGGCGGAAACAAATGGGGAGAGTTTCTTTCACCCTGATGCTCCTGTTACCTAGCAGGTAATAGGTACCCGGGAGTTAGACAGCTGCTACTGGCTGCTTCCTGGGGATGTGTGACAAAAGGAGGCCTGGTCGAGGACCGGGCCGCGGGGACGCAAGACCCGAAATCATCTCAAGATAACCTCAAGATCTCAAGATAATGTAAGACCTATGAGGTGGGGGTCGGTAGGGGGGGACCTCAATACAAGCCTAAAGCATTAAAAACAATTCGACAAAGGCGTCCTGTTCCCAGCACGCAAAGCGTTTCAGGCATAAATTAAAACTGCATCGTTATATATTATAAATGTTGGGTCTGGAGACTTTATGAGCGTGAGAAAGTGTTGTCCTGGTGATAAACCAGAACATTTCTCTTCCCCGCAGACAAAAATAGCGAATACTCTCACGGGAAGATGGTCGGTGTGACCACTTACTGGGCAGCGCCAGTGTGTCCTCACGTAGCTGTGCTTGCTGGCGGTTACGCTTCAGTTTTGGGTTCTGCTTCTCATCATTCAGTCGACTTAAGTGTTCAAGTCCCCCGGACGCTCTGAGCTCTGTTATGACCACATCTGAAGCTATGTCGTGTAAACGTTGCCTCCAGCACTTCATTTCGGCACTTGTGTTTACCTGTGTGTGTATCGTGTCGTGTTATGTGTGTGTGTGTATGTGTTTGTGCGTGCGTGCGTGCGTGCAAGCGTGTACGAGAGAGGGGCTCGTGCATGCGAGAGGGTATAATTACCCACGGGAACAGGAAAAGTTACGTAGCGGAACATATATGTGCTTCTGGTTTAGGAATGTACGTTGAAATTAGTGATGAACTATATCCAAGGCAGACGGTTGTACTCCGTGAACCTTTTTACTATTCTCTGTGTCCCTCCTTCGCTTTCCATCGATATCAACACCCTTAACCCGCCAAACATCTACGTCCTTCCCCAATCTCTCTATACCATTTCCTCCGTCAACCTAGACTTGCAACCCGTATGGCTCTATATGTTCATCCTCTGTTCCCTCCCATGATGAATCCAGCGAGATGGAAAACGAGGTAAAGAGTCCTCCTTCCTGCTGGGGACGATGCTCAACTTGCCGAGTGATGATTCTCCCGGGCGCCGCAAGACCTTGGCAGTGACCGTATTAGCTGGCGTGAGAGCAGGATGATGATGTTGTTGCTTTTGGTGAGCTGAGTGATGTGGGTTGGTGCTGGAATGTTGGTGATTTTTGTTGTTGTTGAGAGTGATGATTGGTATTGCATTGGTGACTGCTATGATCTGGTACACAGTGACTGCCCTGATCTGGTACACAGTGACTGCCCTGATCTGGTACACAGCAGGGAGTCAGGGTGACTGTCCGTGCTCTCGGCGCAAGGAGGGCACTTTTACAAGGTCATTTGGGTCAGGTCACCAACTGCAGGAGACCTTGGCTAACACTTCTCCAGAACGTCACAGACCTAGGTGACTTGTGTACTGCATTGTTATTGGAGCAGGCACCTGTGCTTGCCTGCTATTGGTCCAGTCGTATACCAAACATTGTACCAGGGAATGCTAGTGAAGTCGCTAGGATATGCCAAGCTTCATTCTGCTCCAGGACTTCACTTTGAAGAGATGTACTAACAACGTCCAAATTAGTGTCAATCACCTTATTGAAACGTCTAAAAATATTAAATTCACTACGCTGGCATTCAAGTGCTATATGTCGATCGTCTACAGAGTCGCGACTGCATAACTGACTTTGGTTTAAGTCGTGAGAGTGAGAAACTATGTACAAAGTAATATAACTAAATGGCTGCTGACCTGGTGTAATAGAATCAAGTCGAGAGCGATCGGGTGTAATCTGTCCCATCCACGTACAAAGTGAAGGGTTGAGGTTACCAGAGTGATATACATGATACGTAGATCGTTGCTGCTTCATTCCTGAAAGGTTGTGATGTGAATCTAGATTTGCCGCTCCCGACACACTGTTTTGTTGAGTAAAAAGTGGCCTTGAGTGCCGCGCCAGGATCCACGGGAGTGTATGTCAAAGGAGCCGCCGTGGGCCCTGCAGCCTCACGTTCCGAGCCGCTGCGTGCAGTGTTTCCACCACAAGAACGTCCTGCCACCACCTGTGTCTCTTACATTCGCCACACGTCTTCCTTAAAGCTGCCACCTGCTCCGTCACACACACGTAGCCTTGCAAGAACACCACGTGCGAATGGTTAGAAGACCCAGCACCCTGACTGTGTGAATCTCGCGTGTTCAACTACATGTGGTAGTGGTTGAGATTGACGAGAGATAAAGAGCCCCATGCAGGTATCCCACCGAATCAATGCAGTCATCAGATCATAGTCTAGATACATACATATGTGTATAGCGAGTGGGTCAAGGCCGGCCAACTGTAAGTACAAATCTTTACTAGTACCGTAAAGTTGCCTTGTGTTGATCTCAGTGATTAGCCAGGCGATTAAGTACGCCTCCTCTCCACCCACAACAGGCGAGGGGTTGAACCATCGAGGTAACCCACAAGTGTCAAGATGTTTACCTGCGTGGGGGGACATGCTATGGCCACGTGTGTTCTTGGTGTACGGGGATTAGCAACACGTTTAGTGAGTTGTGATTATTGGTACTGTCACAGTGACGGGCCCTAGTCTGGTAAATTATTAGTCTCAGTGCACGTGTGGGATTAATCATTGTGTTATTGAGTTCAGTGACATATTTTTATGTGTATTTTATAGTGTAATTGTGTTATTGTGCACTTCCTGTTGTTGTGCACTTCCTGTTGCTGTGCACTTCCTGGTGTTGTGCAGTTCGTGGCGTTGTGCAGTTCGTGGTGTTGTGCACTTCGTGGTGTTGTTGTGTGCTGTCTGCGTGTTCTGTATGCAACTCCAATCAATGTTCCTTGATAATGGAAAGTGTCGATACGCAGTAATGGCCAGAGTGTTCACCAGTGTTCAATTACTTAACAAGTGCCCCGTGCAAGAGGTTCGAGCCTGTCTCCCTCACACCAGCGTCGTGGGAAGCCCCGCTGTGTACGGCTGCATAGTTTTGTTGTCACACTCTTGGTTCAGTCAAGCTCCCTGTGTATTACTAAGTTTAATGAATAAATTATTAGTACCAGTGTCTTCCCGTCAGCATTTCCCCAAGTACTGCCCACGCAACCTAATCTACCAGTGTCAGTACCAAGCTATCTGTTGGTACCTGCTCCTGGTATCGAGAGCCTATCGCCTACTAACACACAAAGGCTATATATTTGGTGAGAGCACTCCTTGTGGTGATTTCTGTAGAATATGGCCGAGGACCCAATATGGGAGACACTAGTAGGCTCGTCTGGAGACTGGTGTGACATCTCTTCATTATCTGAGGTACAGCGAATCTTTGCGGCTGTTCTCACATAGATTTTCTGCCAATTGATAGCTTACAGAGCGACCACTATAGGCACTGGTGCTGTTGCTCTCGCCCTGCTGGACGAGGCGCCATGGGTTCCCCTCACCCTCCTGCTGCTGCTGCTGCTGCTGCTGCTGCTGCTGCTGCTGCTGCTGGCTGCCCTCAGCCTGCTAGACCTTGTCGTCTACGACATTCTCCATCTATCTTAACCTTCTGACTCTATTAATACAAAAATAACTGTCAGAGTTTCATTTTCCAACCACTTGGGCTGGACGGTTGAGCGACGGTCTCGCTTCATGCAGGTCGGCGTTCAGTCCCCCGACCATCCAAGTGGTTGGGCACCATTCCTTCCCTCCCCCTCGTCCCATCCCACATCCTTATCCTGACCCCCTTCCAAGTATACAGTATCGCTGGACACTAATAGTGCTTCTCTCTCAGCAGGTGATGAGGATGACTCGGGGCCTCAGTGTGGCGGTGCTCCTGCTGGCGGCCGCTGCCTTCACCAGCCAAGGTCAGTGTTCATGGTGATATATGATGGTGTACAGGGGAGTAGGATATGGTGTATTGTGCACCCCATACTTATCCTGTGAGTGGTAGTGTATTGTGCACCCCATACTTACCCTGTGAGCGGTAGTGTATTGTGCACCCCATACTCATCCTGTGAGCGGTAGTTTATTGTGCACCCCATACTCATCCTGTGAGCGGTAGTTTATTGTGCACCCCATACTCACCCTGTGAGTGGTAGTGTATTGTGCACCCCATACTCTAACGGAAGCACTCTTAAAAGAGAATTGAGGAGAAAAACACCACATACAGCTCCAAATATAAATATGTCGATCAATGAATAAGACGCGGGACCTGAACGCTGAAGTTCGATCCCAACAAACACATCCAGTTAAGCAAATAAATAAATAATAAATAAATAAATAAATGTTTATTCAGGTAAGGTACATACATACAAGAGATTTTACAAAAATTGATAGATTTAGATAGAGCTAGTACATACAATGCCTAAAGCCACTTACGCAAAACGTTTCGGGCAGGTCTATCTAAGTAAAGACACTGGCACAGACAGAGAGACAGGAGAGAGAGATACCAGATACCTGCAGGTAGACAGCCAGCGTCGTGCTAACTTGCAAAATATGATAAGGGAGAGAAGGATGCTAAATTACAGTGGTGGCTTTTGCATACCGTGCAAGGTGATGGGAGAGATTACATACATGCAGATCCTGTCCACACAACACATACAGGGTAGGATGGCTGGGGGTTATCTTGAGATGATTTCGGGTCTTTTTAGTGTCCCCGCGGCCCGGTCCTCGACCAGGCCTCCACCCCCAGGAAGCAGCCCGTGACAGCTGACTAACACCCAGTTGCCTATTTTACTGGTAGGTAACAGGGGGCATAGGGTGAAAGAAACTCTGCCCATTGTTTCTCGCCGGCGCCTGGGATCGAACCCAGGACAACAGGATCACAAATCCCGCGTGCTGTCCGCTCGGCCGACCGGCTGACCGACCGACCGGCCGACCGGCTGACCGACCGACCGGCCGACCGGCGTGGGGGGGGGGGGAGGTGCCGGCAGACATACAATAATAAACGATGGGTAGAGGTCTCATCTGTCTCATCTGGGGAGATGAGACAGATGAGACAGGGCCACAAGAACCATCTAGAAGAAACTCGAAAAGGTTGGCAAAAAACTGGTAGGCTCTTATTAGGGAGAAGATGATAGTGGATGAGCAAAGGTACACGGGTACCCGTCCGCCTGAGGTTTCCCGCCGTCAAGAAAACGGTCAATTTAAAGTGTCCTCTCCTAACCTACCACAGGACCCAAAACAGAAAACGGGACAGTGCGTCACTGTCGCGAGCACTTTCCATTTTCATGTACGACAATTTTCAACCCCGTCCTCTTAAAAATAACGTCGCTTTCCGCTCGTATGCGCGCTATGGCCAAAAAATGGACGTAATTTGAAATGAAATCGGCTCACGAAAGTGATGTACTGTCCCGTTTTCCGTTTGGGTCCTCCGGCCTAAATTTGGCATTATGTAACGCATACGAACGAAAAGTGACGTTGTTTGTAGGAGGACAGGTTGGCCAGAGAGGGACATGAAGGTGACACATCCAACAGAGACGTCTGCTAAACAAGCAACAACATGCCGTGTACCCCGTGACCACAGCCATTGTCATGCTAATATAGGATTAACACGGATGAATGGTCTCCCGCGGACCAATCCGGGCTGGCGAATGCCCTCTAGCGGTCG